CGCCACTGCACTGCAGCCTGGAGCCTGGCAACACAGCAAGACTCTGCCTCAAAAAAAAAAAAAAGCCACAATTAATCAAGCAGGAGGTCAGTAACTAAATGCTTATACGGTATAAAATTAGTCAAATTATATATTGTTCTTTAATAAAATTCCATGTGCATCAAAAAGTATTAATTATGGTTTCAGTTGGCAATGAAAGCATTCCTTGAAAATTAAAGTCAACACACCCAAGAGAATTGGTTTTATTTTTGCAATAGAGACATTAACTTGTTGGTTTAAAACATCTTTTCCAAGGAGTAAGTGCTGGGCACTGTGCTAGGCAGTGGAAATACAATGGGAGGAAAGTTGGTGTGTCATTGTAGCACAAATGAGAAGCTGAATAAGTTCAAAAGTACTCTTCATGAAAAGAACCAATCCTCTAGAAGCACATGGCAGGACAGGCAAACTCAATCTAGAAGTAATAAGATGGCAAATTTATCATATAAGAAGAAAAGAAGCCACTGAAGGGTTTGAAGCAAAGACTAATAAGATCAGAACTGTTTTATGCAAATATATGAAAAACTATACAGAGACTTGGTAGAAGGGGCTAGAGTATAAAACCAAACAACAACCAAAAACACTAGGAAGTTTTTGCAAAAATCTAAGTGAAGGACAACAGAGGCTTGCATAAAAGAAAGTCAGTGGGATTACAGCAAAGTGACCCATTTGAGATTTAGGCATTAGAATCAACTAGATTTGTGTAACTGCTTGACATAAGAGGCAGGGGAAGACAGGAATCGAGGATGACTAGGCAGCCAGCTCAGTGAGATGGGGAGCACTAGAAAGTTTGACAGGTGTATAAATTAATTTTGTAAATTTTGATTTTGAGCCCATGACATACATGACCATACAAGTATGGATAGCCAATAGAATATCAGACATATTTCATAATAGAACCTGGGATTGGGATACAGATTCAGAAGTCATGAACACACTAATAGTAAATAAAGCCCTGTAAGCAGATGTGGACACTCAGGGAATGTACAAAATGAGAAGACAGCCTAGGGTCAGAGGCCCAAGTAACACCAATTAAGAAAAAGGCAGAGGTCATTGCCTTTTAAGTTATACTTTTAACTCTCCATCATATGTGAATGTAATGATCAAAGAATAATTCCTAAGACAATTCAAAAAAGTACTTTTTTCTTTTTTTGAGATGGAATCTCTCTCTGTCACCCAGACTGAAATGCAGTGGCATGATCTTGGCTCACTGCAACCTCTGCCCCCTGGGGTCAAGCGATCCTCCCACCTCAGCCTCCCAAGTAGCTAGGATTACAGGCCTATGCCACCATGCCTGGCTAATTTTTTTATATTTTTAGTAAAGACAGGGTTTCATCATGTTGGCCAGGCTGGTCTCGAACTCCTGACCTCAAGTGATCCACCCACCTCGGCTTCCCAAAGGGTTGGGATTACAGGGGTGAGCCACCATGCCCCACCCAAAAAACTACTTTTAAAAAGATGGAAGGGCCAGGCACAGTGGCTCACACCTGTAATCCCAGCACTTTGGGAGGCCGAGGCAGGCAGATCACTTGGGCTGAGTTTGAGACCAGCCTGGACAACATAGTGAAACCCCATCTCTATAAAAAAACTACATGTATATAAAAAAAAAATTAGCCTGGTATGGTGGTGTAACCCTGTGGTCTCAGCTTCTCGGAGGCTAAGGTGGGAGGAGGATGGATCACTTAAGCCTGAAAGTGGAGGTGCAGTGAGCCAAGATTATGCCACTGTACTCCAGCCTGGCCAACAGAGTGAGACCCTGTCTCAAAACAAAAAAAAGATGTAAAAGGGGAAAAGAAACTAATATTCATTGTGTAACAATTATGTGCCAGCCATCTTTTCAGGTATTTAACTTTTGCCCATAACGACTTTTTGAGATAGATGCCATTACATAAGGAGACAAAGTTTAGCTCCTGACAGGTCATAAAGGAGTCAAAGCCCAATCCAAAGCAATCTGTAACCCTAGAATTTAAAAGGAATTCTGTCTGACCTTAGTGACCTTACTGCCTGAGATAACCTACTATTAAACTTTCACTCAAAAAATTGGGAAAAGGATATGAACAGACACTTTAAAAAAGAAGACATACATGAGGCCAACAAACATATGAAAAAATGCTCATCATCACTAGTCATTAGAGAAATGCAAATCAAAACTACATTGAGATACCATCTCACGCCAGTTAGAATGGCGATCATTAAAAAATCTGGAGACAACAGATGCTGGAGAGGATGTAGAGAACTAGGAACACTTTTACACTGTTGGTGGGAGTGTAAATTAGTGCAACCATTGTGGAAGACAGTGTGGCGATTTCTCAAGGACCTAGACATAGAAATTCCATTTGACCCAGCAATCCCATTACTGGGTATATATCCAAAGGATTATTAATCATTCTACTATAAGGACACATGCACATGAATGTTCATTGCAGCACTGTTTACAATAGCAAAGACCCAGAACCAACCCAAATGCCAATCGATGATAGACTGGACAGGGAAAATGTGGCACATATACACCATGGAATACTATGCAGCCATAAAAAACAATGAGTTTGTGTCCTTTGTAAAGACATAGTTGAACCTGGAAACCATCATTCTCAGTAAACTGACACAAAAACACAAAATCAAACACTGCATGTTCTCACTCATAGGTGAGTGTTGAACAGTAAGAACACATGGACACAGGGAGGTCTGTTGGGGGGAAATAGGGGTCTGTCGGGGGGGAAATAGGGGAGGGACAGTGGGGGGTGGGGAGTTGGGGAGAGATAACATGTGGAGAAATGCCAGATATAGGTGATGGGGAGGAAGGCAGCAAATCAAACTGCCATGTGTGTACCTACACAACAATCTTGCATGTTCTTCACGTGTACCCTAAAACCTTAAATGCAATTAAAAAAAGAAAAATTCAACCGTAAAAAAAAAAAAAACTTTTAAAAAATTATCTCTTGGAATAATTAAAATTTCGATTCATAAAAATGTAGGGCTGGAAGATAATCAAACTTATTTCACAGATAAAGAAATCGAGAGCCTTAGAGATTAAAAAATTTTACCAATATATACTTTTCTTCACTAATGCTGTATATTAATAATTTGCAAGAGATTCAAAATGGAAAGAGTTATCTATATATCTGATACTAAAAGTAGGGCACTCATTTTAAACTATTTATCTAATAGAGAGAAAAAACAGGCCAGGAGTGGTGGCTCACACCTGTAATCCCAGCACTTTGGGAGGTTGAGAAGGGCGGATCACAAGGTCAAGAGATCAAGACCATCGTGGCCAACACAGTGAAACTCCGTCTCTACTAAAAATACAAAAAAATTAGCCGGGCGTGGTGGCTCACACCTGTGGTTCCAGCTACTCGGGAGGCTGAGGCAGAAGAATCGCTTGAACCCAGGAGGCGGAGGTTGCAGTGAGCCAAGGTTGCACCACTGCACTCCAGTCTAGTGACAGAGCCAGAGCAAGACTCCGTCTCAAAAAAAAAAAAAAAAAAAAAGAGAGAGAGAGAAAAAGCTTACTAACTATTCAGTTTCTTAACCAGCATCCCCTTGTATCCACTGGCATAAAAAACAATTTAGGAGTATACTTACAATCATGAAAAGCTGTCCATTTGAGAACAATGCTTTAACCAAAGGAACTTATCATAGTTGACTTTCTTTTTGTGAAAAAGTTTGTCGTCATCAATAAATCACAAAATGCACATCAAAAATATTCATACAGGTCAGTCAGGCACAGTGGCTCACACCTGTAATCCCAGCACTTTGGGAAACCAAGGCAGGCGAGTGGATCACATAAGGTCACAAGTTCAAGACCAGCCTGGCCAACATGGCAAAATGCTGTCTCCACCAAAAATATGAAAAATTAACTGGGTTTAGTGGCACGCACCTGTAATCCCAGCTACTTGAGAGGCTGAGGCAGGAGAATCAACTGAACCTGGGAGGTGGAAGCTGCAGTGAGCTGAGATCGTGCCACTGCATGCCAGCCTGGGTGACAGAGCCAGACTCAGTCTTGAAAAAAAAAAAAAAAAAAAATATATATATATATATATATATATATATATATGTATATTCATAAATGTATATATATACATTTAAAGCACATATATATATACCAAAATGATACATATAAAGTCCTTGGCATTCTTAGTACATGTATGTTTAAATATACATATATACATATGAATATATGTATATATACACACACACACACACACACACACACACACATATATATATATTCATACAAACTGGGCACAGTGGCTCATGCCTATAATCTCAGTGCTTTAGGAGGGCAAGGCAGGAGGATTGCTTGAACCCAGGAGATCAAGGTAACACTGAACTATGATCATACCACCACACTCCAGCCTGGGTGAAAGAGAGAGCCTGTCTTTAAAATAATAAATAAATAAAATTTTTACATATTCAAATATTTTCTTTTTTAAAAATGGATACCTACCAACAAGCAAAAATGTGGTAAAAAGTTTCCAAATGTTTTCATACCATACCATAATCAAAGCATTAGTATGGCTATAGTATTAACTTCTTTACAACTCCAACATGGTCATCAATAATTAAAACAGTCTTTCACCAAACAGCATTTTGTACCCTTTAAGCATATTTGTTTAATTTTTAAATAAGCAAGTTCACCATTTTCATTCAACAAATAAAACAGTTTCTCTTCTCTCTCTCACAGACACACAAATTCCATTAAAAGTTTTCAATTTTAAGTTATGTTATACACACCTACTTCTGTAAGTTCTACACATCATAACCAAGGCAGTATCACATAAAACAAGTACAAAGTTTTCAGTATGAGTTCTATTTCATAGGTAGACCATATTGACTTATATAAGATTCCAGAAAGAAAAATTATTAGGATTCCAAAGAAATCTTTTTTTCTGACAAGACAAACCTCTTTCAGAAGAGCCCACTAAGGATATCTTAAAATAAGTTTAGCACATCTAATGACATACCTAAGGAACCCCTGGTCTGTTGACTATTTGGTGGTATGTTTTCCTTAGCCATAGAGATCAGTATCTTACTGTTTTCAGAAAGCTTCTCTGACAACTTTCCCTGAAAGAGACATAATATTTACAAAGGCAAGGGGAGGGAAGAAAACATGAAATATACAACCCATCTCAAATTTTAATTAAACAGCTTGATGAAATTACACAGTAAATCACAGAAGAAACTAAGTGTAAGGTTTTGAGGAATTAACCAAAAGTATTTAAATTTTATAATCGATATTCTAATATTTAATCATTTACTTACCAACAAATATTTACTGAGTCCCTATTAAGTGCTAGACATTTTGTCAAGCACTGAAGATATACAAGTTTTTAAAAATACAAGAATTTCTGTCATCATAAACCTTATCAACTACTGGGGGGACACATAATGAACTCAAAACATGATTATGTGATATGCAGACAGTGGTAGGAAGGAGTTATAGAAAAAAAAAAAAATAGATCAAAATAAGGAGGCCCAGAAATGCTGGGGGAGGGACTACAAGGCCTCACTGAGCAGGTGATACTTGTTAGTGTACTAAGACTTAAATTATTTATGTACAAATTAATATTAGAAATTATAACAAAACTGAATTTAAAGCTATGTATTCCAAACTATGTAACTCCAAAGCCGTAAGCTGGTCCTAACTACAGGAGAGTGGTTAAGAGATAGACTCTGGAGCTGCATAAAGGTTCCAATCCTGAATCCACCACTGTGTGGACTTGGACAAATTACTTAACCCCTGTGAGCTTCACTTTCTTAATTTATAAATCAAAAAAAATTTCACCTACTTAACAGGAATATTATGATTAAATAAAATGATACACAGAAAGTCCTTGGCATTCTTGGTACATGACAGATTATTATGGAAGGAAGGCAACCAATTATGTTTGTTCCAAGGATGCACACTGGAGCCCATCTGTTAGGGATCAAAGCCCAGTTTCACCAACTCTACTGCCTTAGTCTCATTACTTTAATTTGCCTCAGTTTACTCACCTGGAAAATTATAATAACAGCACTTACCTCATAGATTACTATGAAATATAACCTCTTAAGGCTATGCCTTGTCCATAGTTAGCACTCAATAAATGATAGCCATGTGAATAAAACTACTTTATAATTAGGCTATCTATATTATTTATCATCTCAGCCAAGATACCTTTGTCCAGAACAAATGCTAAATCAGAAAAAAAAAACACTGGACAACAGGTAAACCAAGATCATCTTGGACAAAGCAATATAAATGGTAACTCTCATTATGATTAATCATATGGCACAGATTAAACTACATGCTCTATATTATGATACTGAGCTTTGAGAAGGTGCCATAACACTCTCATCAGTGCTGTATTCTCAGAGCGTATGTAGCACAGTACCTAACAGAACCCTCAGTAAATATTTGCTAAATCGATAAATCAGTTTCACCAAAACAAGGAAAGCTTTAAGAAAGCCTTTTAAACACTGCTTTAAGAAACAATTATTTTAGGCCGGGGAAAGTGGCTCACACCTGTAATCCCAGCACTATGGGAGGCCAAGGTAGGCAGATCACCAGATCAAGAATTCAAGACCAGTCTGGCCAACATAGTGAAATTCCTCTATGCTAAAAATACAAAAATTAGCCAGGCATGGTGGCTTGCGCCTATAGTCCCAGCTACTCGGGAGGCTGAGGCAGGAGAAACACTTGAACCCAGTAGGCAGAGGTTGTCATGAGCCAAGATTGCGCCACTGCACTCCAGCCTGGGCAACAGAGTGAGACCCCGCCTCAAAACAAACAAACAAAAACCAATTATTTTAAGAAATTTATATTATGAAACTTGAATAGTACAAAATAAATTACCCTAATAAATCCACTTTTGCAGATTTCAAAATAAAAACTTTTTAAACTAATTCAATAAATTGAACTTCTTCACATAGAATGTAAGAACTTGCCTTTACTACTGTTCTGTTTATGTTGTGTAAGTTCTTTGTAATAGAACTGGTCTCATAATCATTTTATGAAGCAAATAATTCTTCAACAAGAGATAAGAGAAACACTGTGAGATACAAAACACCACAAAAGAAAAACTGCATTCAAAATTACTGCAATCTTGTCTGGAGTCAGGCTCCCAGAATAATAGCATAGTAAGAAACAGAAGATTCTCACTCACAGAAAAGGATGTTTTGCATTTACACAGGAGTAATCTCCATAGACAGTTATAATAAAACATGTTCAAAGAAAATTATTAAGTTTACCTTCATTTCCATGTAAGGTGGATCACTTTCCAACTCTGCTTTGTCTTTGGCCAATTTAGCTTTTCGCTCTTCAATAAATTCATCCAAATTATCAGCCATTTTGCAGATTCTTAAAAAAAAAAATTTTCAATAAGCATATCTGTATCATAGTATTTTTAGCCTAATTATCAACATGTACAGTTAGTCCACATTTAGTTTTCAATCTCACTTATCAAATTGAGAAGTTCAAACTTAAGACTGATCATAAATATGCCTGCCTACTGCCTCTCCCAACTTCCCTAAGAAGCCTACAGTACACTTTTTCTTTGAGACAGAGTTTCACTCTTGCTGCCCAGGTTGGAGTGCAATGGCGCCATCTGGGCTCACTGCAACCTCCAACTCCCAGGTTCAAGCGATTCTTCTACCTCAGCCTCCAGAGTGGCTGGGATTACAGGCATGCGACACACCCAGCTAATTTTTTGTATTTTTAGTAGAGACCAGGTTTCTCCATGCGGGTCAGGCTAGTCTTGAACTCCCAACCTCAGGTGACGTGCCCACCTCGGCCTCCTAAAGCACTGAAATTACAGGCATGAGCCACAGAGCCCAGCCAATATACTTTAAAATATCTGAAATAAAAAGAAAATGAAAAACTACCACCACCATCCATACATGCCCCTCCCTGGCAAAAAAAACAAAAGCAAGCAAACAAAAAGCTCCTTAAATCCTTAAGCCAAAGAACTTTAAAAAAAAAAAAAAATTTTTTTTAACTATTGGAAGATAATTTCTAACTTATGGAAAATTTACAAGAATGATACCAAGGACACACAGTTTTTATTAATTCTCTATTAAGATTTTGCTCCACTTGCTTCATCCTTTGCTTGTGCACACAAGGTCATTCTCTCCATACACGCAAACACAATTTTTCTAAAATTATTCAAAGGATAAAGTACATAAATCATAGCCCTTTGCCCCTAAACTCTTCAGTGTGTGTGTCTTAAGAATTGAGTGATTTTCTTACATAACCTCAATACAATTATCAACTTCTGTAACATTGATTTTTTAAGCTATTGTCTATATTCCACTTTTGTCAACTGACTCAATAGCAGCCCACTGAAGTTAGATATTGTAGTTTACTGCTCTTTTGCCTTCTTCAGTTTGGAACATCTATTTCTACCAACTTTCTTTGTCTTTTATGACACTGATATTTTTAAATACCATCTATCTACTATCCATCCTTTTTTTTTTTTTTTTTTTTTTTTGAGATGGAGTTTCGCTCTTGTTACCCAGGCTGGAGTACAATGGCGCGATCTTGGCTCACCGCAACCTCCGCCTCCTGGGTTCAGGCAATTCTCCTGCCTCAGCCTCCTGAGTAGCTGGGATTACAGGGATGCGCCACCATGCCCAGCTAATTTTTTGTATTTTTAGTAGAGACTGGGTTTCACCATGTTGACCAGGATGGTCTCAATCTCTTGACCTCGTGATCCACCTGCCTTGGTCTCCCAAAGTGCTGGTATTACAGGCGTGAGCCACCGCGCCCAGCAACTACTCATCCTTTTCAATAGAACATCCCTTATCTGGGATATGCCTGGTGGTTTTTCTTCATGACTATATTTAGATTATGCATTCTCACAGGAAATACTTAGGTGAAATCTCAAGGTGTCACATAGAGAAAGCACATAATATTCACCTGCCTTCGTCAGTGATGTTATTTTTGATCACTGACAAGGTGATCATCTTTATGATCTTGTCTAATTTCTGAACTGCTAAACTGTTCCTCAAAGTATAAAGTACCATTTTACATTCCAATGTTTAAGAATATAAGTGAATTGTATACGATAATTGCAATTTCTACACATCCTCGCCAAGGCATGATATTTTCAGTCATTTTTATCTGTCATTCTATTGTATATTTAGTTGTATCTCTCTACGATTTTAATCTGCATTTCTCTGATAACTACGATGTTGAACAACTTTTCGTCTATTTATTTACCATACATATAATCATTGGGTAAGTGTCTACTCAAATCTGCCTTTTTTAAAATTAGGGTTTATTTTTTATTTTTTAGAGACAGGCTCTCACCTTGTCACCTAGGCTAGAGTGCAGTGTTGCCATCATAGTGCACCTGCAGCTTTGAACTCCTGGGCTCAAGCAATCCTCCCACCTTAGCCTCCTGAGTAGCTGGGACTGCAGGCAAGCACCACCATGCCCAGTCAGTTTTTTTGTTTGTTTATTGCAGACACAGGATCTCACTATGTTGCCCAGGCTGGGGCAATACAATCATAGAAAAATGTTACCGCTTCAATTCCTGGACTCAAGTGATCCTCCTGCCTCGGCCTCCCAAAGTGATCAGACTACAGGCATTAGCCACCAAGCCCAGCAGGTTATTTTATTACTATTGAATTATAAGATTTCTTTATATATACTTGATAAAAGTCCTTTATTAAACTTGCTTTGTAAAAATATTTTGTCAATCTGTGGTTTGTAAGTTTTCTTAATAATGTATTTTTAATAGTGAAAGCTTTAGATGTTTCTCAAGTCCCATTTATGAATTTTTTTCAATTTTTTAATTAATGTATTATCTGTACTTTTTGTGTCCTATCTAAAAAACTTTGCCTAACCCAAGATCACAAATATTTTCTTTGTAAGTTTTTTAGTTTTTTTCTTCCTACATTTAATCTATGATCCATTCAAAGTTAATTTTTGTAAATCTATAAGGGTCAAGGCTCAACTTTTTTGCATATTCCAGCACCATTTTTTGAAAAAACTAACCTTTCCTCATTTAACCTAGAACTTTTTTCCAAACACATCTTCCAAAGTCCCAGGAAAGTCAGCATCTAATTGGGTATGCAGAAAAAAAAAAAAAGCCACTAATGATCAAAGTTTTAAGGCCTGGAAGCCAAATGTGGACAGAATCTTGGAAAGTCAGAGCAAGTTGGAAGGTTTAGAAAGGTTTGATTTACACATTTAAGATGTGCTACTGGAAATTTCCAGCAGATGGTCAGAAATTCAAGATTCAAATTCAAGAAAATGAACTACATTAGAGATGTTTAAGAGTTAATTAAATATTTTAAAGATAACAGATGAAGTCGCAATCTATGAGCACAGGCAGGGAAAAAGAGAGATGACCCAGAACTACACACCAGGCAATGTTCACTTGAGGAAATGACAGAAGAATTGAAGCTGGGGAACAAAAAAAGGAATAATTAAAACAGGGATATGAAACAAACCCAATCAACATAATTAGTTGAGGAGAAATGGAAAAGAGATACAAAATAGAATTGGTGAACAATATCAAATGCAAGCAAGTTTTAAAAAAAAAAAAGCATCCAGTGAAGTTAACTTTTGGGACAAAGATAATTTCAAAAAAAATGTATATATATATATATATGATTGTAGAAAAGCAGACTTTACCTAAAAGAGTATGTTGAAACTTTTATCAGGTAAACAGTACATAATGTAAACTTCATGCTATTATTTACTACCAAAAGGAACACTGATTTTAAAATATAGCTTAAGGCTGGGTTTGGTGGTTCACACTTGTAATCCCAGCACTTTGAGAGGCCAAGGTGGGAATCACTTGAGCACAGGAAGTCAAGACCAACCTGGACAACACAGTAAGATCTCATCTCTACTAAAAATAAAAATAATTAGCCAGGCATGGTGGTGCATCCCATAGTCCCAGCTATTTGGAAAGCTGAGGCAGGAGGATTGGATCACTTGAGCCCAGGAAATCAAGGCTACAGTGAGCTTACAAGCATCCCACTGCACTCCAGCCTGTTTAACACACCAAGATCCCATCTCAAAAAAAAATTAAAAATCAAAAAAATAAAAATATATACATTTACAGATAAAGTTTTAGCAAAATATATTTCAAATCAACAAAAGTTGATATATTTTGGCCAATTTCTTTTGTTGTTTTTTTTTGGTTTTTAGAAATGAGGCCTTGCTCTGTTGCCCAGGCTGATGTGCAATGCCACGATGAGAGTTCACTGTAACCTTCAACTCCTAGGCTCAAGTGATCCTCCCACATTGTGGCCACCAGAGTTGCTGGGATTATAGCTGCCAGCTGCAATGCTCAGCCTATTTCAGCCATTTTTAATTTGCTAATTGTCAGAAAAGACTTTTCCTAATAAAAAATCTGAACTCAACAGCAAACAAGTTCTCATGTTTAGGAAAATCACTCCCTTAATATCTGATAATTTTCCTCAATAGCCTATGTCTGACAGGAATAAAATGATGAAATGATGCATATATTTTGCTAAAAAATTTTGCACAGAATTTAAACAGAAATACCATTTATCTAGGCTGGGTGCAGTGGCTTATGCCTGTAATCCCAACACTTTGGGAGGCCAAGACGGGTGTAACACTTGAGGTCAGGACTTCAAGACCAGCCTGGCCAACATGGGAAAACCCCATCTCAACTAAAAATACAAAAATTAGCCAGGCGTGGTGGTGTGCTCAGGATTGAACACTATTAGAAGTGGGGTTAATTCTATGATGGTACCACTCAATAAATCTAAAATATGGTGCGGAGGGGGGCTAATGCTGTAACTGGCAGACAAGTAGTAGTTATTCATATCAGCTGGGAGAGGAAATATTTGGTATTTTGTGTCTTAATCATTCAGGCTGTAGTACAGTAGCATAATCTGGCCTCACTCTTGATAGACAGAAATCGTCCCCAACATTTGTGTTTTGTCTGTGTTTGGACACAGTGATTGAATGTTGTCTTGATCCATCATAGACACAGAGTAGTCTTATCTGATGTTGATGTTCTGTACAACAGTTTATCTTCAACAGAAAAACACAAAGTTACTGTGAATGCCAGGCTAGTTTCTAGCAATATCAGTTTCTAGCTGTCACAGCCATTTTTCTTTTTCTCACTCATAAAGCATGTGACAGCTTACATATTTCAATTACACAATTATTCAATAATTACTTGGTGACTCACAGAGACTACATTAATTACTATGGCACATGTACAATATAGAGTAAAAACATTTATAATTTAATAATTAACTTGCTAAAAATAAATCAGCTGAAAGAAACCTAAATGGGATTATTTATCTCGCTGACACTCTACAATATAAAGTCACAACTTTTTCAAGACATCATGGCCAAGTATTATTTCTCCAGTAGCTGTGTACTTAGTGTGGAAATGATGAACAGTTTTCAGGAAAACAGTTTAATTGAAAGACCTGGGTTTGAAATATATTTCTATCACTATTGATCTCAATGTAAATGACCTCAAGAATGTTCATTAACTGCTCTATGCCTAATCTATAAAATGGAAATACCATTTATTCTAGTATATTATGAAGAAAAAACAAATAATGCATATAAAAAGTATGACAGAGAACCTAACACTTAGAAAGCAACAGATCAGGCCATTCCTATAATCCCAGCACTTTGGGAGGCCAAGGCAATCGGATCACCTGAGGTCGGGAGTTTGAGACCAGTCTGGCCAACATAACAAAACCCATCCTAAAATTCCAAAAATTAGCCAGGCATGGTGGCACATGTCTGTGGTCTGCTACTCCAGAGGCTAAGGGAGGAGAATCACTTGAACCCAGAAGGCGGAGGTTATAGTGAGCCCAGATTGTGACACTGTACTACACCCTGAACGAGAGAGACTCAGTCTCAAAAAAAAAACAACAGATCAATTATTTTATTGTTTATTGTTTTATCTTTGTATCTTTGTATATATGAAGATTTACCTCTTAAAAACAGAGCCTCCAAACATAAAGTATGCTGAGATTTAAATCACCAGTAATTGATACTTGGTTATCATAATCCACACCAACATCTCTAAATCTTAACCTTTGGCTCTTTATGCTTATTATAGAGATATAAGCAGACCAGAACATACCCATTCTGCTAAGTCTAATCAAATCCAATAAAGAGACAGAACCCAGTAACAAATGACTTTCCCCAATTCTTTCCCACAAATTCATCAGTCACAAAAAGATGGGAAAATGTTGCTCCTATCTTTTCCCCCTCAAGGAGTGTAATACAAATTTCCTCCCCACTATGGGAGCATGAGAAACGGAAAAGGACTCCCCTCCTATAGCAGGATATTGTGCTAGAGGCTGGGGGGAATCAAAAATATAAAATGTGGCCGGGTATGGCGGCTCACGCCTGTAATCCCAGCACTTGAGGAGGCCAAGATGTGCAGATCACTTAAGGTCAGGAGTTTGAGACCAGGCTGGCCAACATGACAAAATCCTGCCTGTACTAAAACTACAGAAATTAGCTGGGCATGGCAGGAGGCTGAACCATTGCTTAAACCGGGAAAGCAGAGGTTGCAATAAGCCAAGATGGCACCACTGCATTCCAGCATGGGTGACAGAGTAAGATTGTCTCAAAAAAACAAAAACAAACAACAACAATAATAAATATATGTGCGTGTATGTGTGTGTATACACACATGATTCTTGTCTTCAAATTTGGACAAGATAACTCCCCCTGCCACAGTGGCTGACAGGGGTTTAGGAGCTAAATGTGTGATACCCGTAACGGATGCACTGGAGATATAAAGAAAACAATCTGAAAAACAGAACTCAGAAAAGAACCCAGGCTGGAAATTAAGATCTAGCAGTGTTTAAAATAATCATTAAGGCTGTGGGAGAAGTTTTGTCTGGAAAAAGAGACCCTAGAATAGAGGAACAGGACCTAGAACAGGTATCAAAGTGTGATAACATGGGGGGTGGGGGGAGGGGCCAGTGAAAGAGCCTTAGAAGAGAGGGAGGGACAAAGTGACCAGGACAATATTTCTCACTTCTTGTCCATCCAGAGATCTATCTACCGATTGCAAGGTTCTTCATCTTTCTCCTAGCATATGGCATCCACATTAGCAACCTCCTCCCATGGGTACACCCAAATTTTGACACATTCCCCTAAATATTGCTAAGACGTAAATACTGTTGCTGAGGGAAACAGAGGGAGGCTGGGAGACAAGATACAAAGAGAGAGTGAATAAATATATACATGTTGAAATCTTTCAGCAGCTGTTAATAATACACCCGTAATGGTGATTAAGGGCAGCAGCATAAATTAGCCTCTGGGTTATGCAAAATTGCTGAAACACGTGCTCAAACACCCTTGCCTGCCACTCAGGAAAGCACATCAGAATCTAAGTCAGAATGATGTTAAAAGGATAATCTGAAATCTGCTCAAATGTGTAACAGTTAAATCATATTTGTCTGAAAACTTCATTTGAGAAAAACTACTGAAATTATCCTGTTTCAATTTACTGTCTAAACTCACTTCCTCCCTCCCAGAAGGTCATCTGACTGAAGACCCAAACTTGGCCAGGCACAGTGGCTCAGGGCCGTATCGCACCACTTTGAGAAGTCGAGGCAAGCGGATCACTTGAGGTCAGAAGTTCAAGTCCAGCCTGGCCAATAAAGTGAAACCCCATCTCTACTAAAAATACAAAAATTAGCTGGACGTGGTGGCATGCACCTGTAGTCCCAGCTTCTCAGGAGGCTGAGGCAGAACTGCTTGAACCCGGGAGACAGAGGTTGCAAAGAACCGAAATGGCACTATTGCACTCCATCCTGGGCGACAGAGCGAGACTCTGTCTTTAAAAAAGAGAGAGAGAGAGAGAGAGACAGACACCCAAAACTTGATCATTGTAGGGCATTTCAGCAGACATTTAATCATCAGAAAGCCAATGACCTCCTAGGAAGAATGATACAAAGAAAAGAAAATACCTCAATAGTTTCCATGTTGCTCGTCAACATGACAAGTCATTCTTTCACACAGAATAGAGCCTAAAGAAAAGTAGGTTTTTACAAATTCCTATTGGTTGCTTTTAGGTCCCTGCATTTTCCAAGGTGTTTGGACATTAGGTGGTGGTTTACTTCAGAATTTAGCCTTCCCGGAAATCCTAGTTAAGCGTCTTAATCCTACAATCTTGAAAGCTAGGCGCCCTCAAAAGATAGTCCCATTAATAACATGTACTGACAACTGGATTCGAGTCCCATATAAGATTCCTAAAATCAAGGCAGTTAGAAACAAGAGATTCAAGCTTAAGCTGCCGGACAATCACAAGGGAAAATAAGATAACAATAGTATCGAGCTATGGTAGCAAAGCAGTGAGCACAAGCGCTCCCACGTCAACAATAACAAGCACCGAAGAGCAAGAAATGCGCTCGAGGAGGCTTGACGGAGCAGCGGAGACCCCGCCGTCGGCGAGAAGGCGCCTGGGAACCAAGGCACCATTCGCTCCCGGGCGCCAGAGGTGGCTGACCAGGAAGCGTTAGTGCGTTGTCAGGCAACCAGCTCTCAACAACACAGCGGGCGGCGGCGACCACGGTGGCCCAGGAATCCCGACCGCGTAACTAGGGCACCTCCGCGAGCCCGGCAGCTGGGAGAGCCCAGCCCACAGGGAACTCCCGTCTCCAAGCCTCATAACTCAGTCACCGCTGCCGGCCTCACGGCCGCGAGACCCCACCTCTCCACACCCGTAACTCGGGAACCTGCCTCATCGCGTCCAGTAGCCACGAGACCCCACTGGGGGACAAGAAACTCACACCCCCAGACTCCAGAGCTCGTAACTCCGGCACGCCGCGGGCCTTACAGCCTCGAGATCTACGCCCCGACGGAGCCCCTGCCCCCGCTCCGCCGAATGCAGCCCCGGACCCCCTTCCTCACTCTACACCACTCCGCGGCATATCCCGCCGCTCACGCTCCCCATCCGCGGCTGGCAGACTCTTACTCAGGAGAGCGGGCTCGCGACCGGGGACACGCACAGTGCTCAAGAGAGGATCGTCGCGGACCTAACAGGTAGCAACGACCGCTCGGCGCCGGAACTATGTGACAGACTCCGGGCCGTTGCTCCGCCTCTCAGGCCGAGCCCTCCGCCCGCCCTTCGCCACCCGCCGGGTGCGGTCCGGCCCCCACTGCAGGCGGCCGCGCGGCAGACAGCTCCCCCTACTGTCCCGGAGGCTGCATAGCTGCCCGCCGCTCTGGGTTCCCCAGCACCTTGGCATGGGATTTGGAAAACTCGTTCTCCTGCTGAGCCCAGGGGCTGTTAAACCGTGGGAGCCAATTCTCAGGCTACATCTATTCCAGCCTCTCCAACCTCTTAGGCACCACACAGCTTGGGAACAGTGTGAGAGCCTGAGAAGAAAAATGGGGAGGGATGGTAGTGAGAGGAAAAGTGTTAGCATACCATTACTCCTAGCCTCGGAGTGTGGTCAACGTTGAGTCCTAGGCTTTCATTACCATTTTCAACATGTTATTCAGTTCACCCCAATAGCATATGGCCATATGCTACCACTAGAAAAGAGACCTCTAGATTCCCAAGAAAGTGGAACTAAGAGTAGATATTAATGTACTATTTTACTCTAAATTTCTTTGTAAGAGATGGTTTTAAAGCAAATTTTCAACTGAAAGTCAGTGCCAAAACCGCAAGCTGTGGTGTGGATTCAATAATTCCAGTATTTCTGATAATAACTGATTGTTCCAATGCATTGTAACAGTTATAGAAACACCTACAGAGACTTAGAGACATCATGGAAGGAATGGTCATTGGAGTGTCGAGGAGTTCGTGTTCAGTATCACTGGGCTGTATATTTAAAGATTAATATGAGTTCCCAAGCAAAAAAGTTAGGAAGGAGCATTTCAAGCAATGCTGACCACATATGCAAAGCCAAAGTAAAGATATTTGCATTGCTAGAATGGAAAGTTTGAGGGGAGACTAAAGAGACATGATGCTGAAGAGGTGCGTAGGGACCAGGTTGTTAATAGCTGTAATGCTATTTTTTCTGTTTTGTTTTTGTTTTGTTTTGTTTTGTTTTGTTTTGTGACAGGGTCTGACTCTATCTCAAAAAAAAAAAAAAAAGGCTCGGCTCACTGCAACCTCCTCCGCCTCCCAGGTTCAAGTGATTCTCCTGCCTCAGCCTCCTGAGTAGCTGGGACTACAGGTGCGCACCAGCACGCCTGGCTAATTCTTTTGTTTTTTCTTTTCTTTCTCTCTCTCTCTCTCTCTCTCTTTTTTTTTTTTTTTTTTTTTTTTTTTTTTTTTTTTTTTAGCAGAGATGGAGTTTCACCATGTTGACCAGGCTGGTCTTACTCCTGACCTCAAGTGATCAGCACACCTCGGCCTCCCTAAGTGCTGGGATTTCAGGTGTGAGCCACCATGCCTGGCCTGTGATGCTATCTTTTCAGGGAAAAAAATATACTGAGGGTGCTAGAGGATAAAACAAGGAAAGCAGACTTGCTCCCTGTGTCTTGAAACTTAAAATTTTGCGCGGATGGAGTAAAGAGATGGAGAAAAAAGAAAATCTAAAACACGTAAACTAATAAATAAAATAACTAAGCATAGTATTAACTGTAGGAAGAAAACTAACCAGTTGCCGAGATTAATTAGGCCTTGGGGGCAAATGAGGTTCACAGCAGTGCCAAAGATTTAACTGTAACCTGTTAAAAGAACAGAGTACTGGGCATTTTCGGATCAGTAATGGCACGTAATTCATATGCAGATGTTAACCTTTACCGACGCGCAAAAAGGCATGGTAATATCAATCAAGGAGTACCCACCGCATCCTCGCATCTCTAGAAAAAGCCCATCTGCATGCGAAGTGCCAAGCCACCACAAGCCAGTTAGCTTTTACGCATGTGCAACGAATCACCTTAAAGTAAACTGGAATGCCATGTTTCTCTTCCTCTCAACAAACTTCCATAACAACGTATAGCTCCGTTTTACAACAGACAGCCTTCCCTTTTAGTCTTTCAACAAACTTATCTCGTTTAAGGTACCTATACCCACACAAAAACACTTTCCGCCCCCCACATCCCAGGCTCCACCTACCTTTAATATGGCGGAGGCCGAGTCTGCGCAGTACAAAGAGAGAAGGTTCATGCCCGTCTTCCGGTGCGGAAGACTATACCATTACCATAGCCTATAATTTTGTTTGTTTATTTCGCACATACAATTTCCCGAGTCCAGATGTTCTCATTTAAACCACAAGAAGATTTGTCTCTCCCTATTAGTGTAAATACTGTTTTTATCGTCACGTCCCGGAAAGACCCCTGTCTTCTCTGAATGGTCTGTACTAACTGCACCTCCGGTTCTAGGTGTCATGGCTGCCCCAAGAGTCTAGTTAAGAGTTTGCTCCCGTGGGGCGGAGGGTCCAAGGCCCACACCAGGAGACCTAGCGAGGTAAAGTTGTCCCTTGGTTGTGGATACGACAGCTTCTCCGTTTCCTCGGCGATGGCGGCGTCCGGGAGCGGTATGGCCCAGAAAACCTGGGAATTGGCCAACAACATGCAGGAAGCTCAGAGTATCGATGAAATCTACAAATACGACAAGAAGCAGCAGCAAGAAATCCTGGCGGCGAAGCCCTGGACTAAGGAGTGAGGAGGTCCCTGGCGAGACGCAGGGGAGGGAAGGGGTGGCGGGAGTTTAAGAGACCCGGAGGGAATGGGAGTTGAAAGGGTTCTGAAGAGCTTTCACCGACGGGGAGGGGGACAGAATAGGCGCTTTGGATTTGCAAGTAGAGTCTAAGCCCTCCTCTGGGGCTTTGACTCCCTTTTTTGTCGCTTTAACCCATTTGTCCCCGGATGATGTCAAGGGAGAACAACAAGCGGTGATTTAAATTGTTGCTTCTGAACATTCGTATTGTCATATATGCCCCACACACTGCCTTGAACCCAGTATCGGCATGCACCTTGTTTGGGTCTTCTACCCCAAACTGGGGACTGCAGCTGTTTGCAGAAATCGAGTCAGCAGCCCAAGGTCTCAAAAATAGCTATGAACTATTTTATTTTATATTTTTTAAATAGAGATGGGTCCTCGCTGTGTTGCTCAGGCTGGTCTCTAGCTCCTGGCTTCAAGCGATCCTTTCCCCTTGGCCTTCCAAAGTGGTGGGATTACAAGCATCAGGCCTGGGCCTATAATAGTTTTTCGATTGCTGGTAATTATTTAGGAGACACACGGAGGCTCTACCTGGTCTCTAAAATGTTACTCCACCAGTCCCCATAAACCAAATATTATAAAACTAGAGCTTAAGGCTCTTTGCCCTTTAGCAATATCCATTTTTCCCTGGGAGTGGTGACAAGTCAAGGGATCTTTACCCATATTTTCTTTTTCCTGAGAGCAGTGTTTGGGAGAAAGTAAAAAGAGCACAAAAGCTAATGGATAGATAGAAAGGAGAGATGTGGTCAAAAAGAAGACCTACTTCTACTGCTTCAGTTTTTTTTTTACAGGGCTAGCCTTGCCTTTCAGTACTCAGACGAGATCAGGTGCGTTCAGGGTGTTACGGCCGTAGACGTCTCTCAGTATTCAGATTCCACAGTGGTGAATTGTGGAGGCACCTAGCTAGAGATTTCCACCTCATTTAATCTTGATGACAACCCAGTACAGTATATCTATCCTTTTTTTTACAAATTAAAAGAAAAAACAAGCAAATGCATTATGTAACTTATGGTCACACTGAGATAAGTGAACTCCTAACTGAGCATTAGTCAGACCTAAGATCAAATCTCACACTATCACTAACTAGTTAATTGACCTTAGGAAATTTACTTATCCATCTTCAATTATCGTAACATGTAAATAAGACCTACCTATTGGTGTTGTCATAAAGATGAGATAATGTATAAAAAGAGTCCTCTAAAATATATGTAAGAGGAGCATAGTAATTTGTCTTTCTTCGTTTCTCCAGTAAAGGGAGAAGCCAAGATTTCGATTCATGTTTTGACTTCCAACATGAAGTCTACACATTTTTCAGCTTTCGGTTGAAATCTGGCAAAGCTTAGGAATTAAATTTGGATTCTTTCTGTGGGCAGACATCTAAAAAAACTTTGTAGATACGTTGACTGACTGCTCTCTATGGCTGATTAAGTTGCTTGGTTGTCTTCTTTCTGTAGCAGGCTGCATTTTAGGTTGATGTACTCTTAAATATTTAGAAACAGCCTGCCTCACTGTCTAATTATGACTCTAATTATATTCATCCTAGCTATCTTGGACTGCATCAATGAGACAAAAATGTACTTTTATTCAAGAGTTTAATTTACTGATGACAAATTCTGAAATAGTGATCATAGGAAACTATAATCTTAGAGCTACTTTTTAATTTGAGGCTGACATACAGGGAATCCCACCCTTCAACACACTGTTCTTTGAGAATAGGATTAAAAGACAGGTTAATAATTAATAATGCTAATGACAGCTAGCACTTACTAGGTTTCTAGTATGTGTAAAGCACTAAGCTAAGCACTTTATATACATTTCATTTACTTTATTTCATCATAACAACTACTGTGAATATCCCTATTTACAGAAAAGGAAACCTTGGCACAGATATTACATGGTTGTCCCAATGCCACAGCTAGGGAATGCGGTGTCAAGATTCAAACCTCGGCAGATGAATGTCAGAACTCACATCCTTAACCATTAGGCTAGAGGTTAGGCCTGAAAACAGTTAGGCACGACTATCCAAGCAGTCAGAATCCAAGATTGGGTGATTCTAAATTAATGGAGAAAAAAATTGAACTGGTCCTATTATTCCCTTATTTGAATAGCACATTTTAAAAAACTATTTCACACTTTTCCCCTCCCCCAAGGATGATATGTTACAAGACTATAACATGCTTGTTTCCACCCTGCAGAAATTTTCCTTTTCAACTTTTTCTCCCCATAGTCTACACTCCCCTTCCATCACTGTATATTCCTTCAATACTTACTCTTTATCTTCAGAAATACTTTATTCTGAATTGTGCTTTATATAAGAAATTTAATTGCATCGTGATTTTGTTTTGTAGTCACCATTACTTTAAGTACTGCAAAATCTCAGCATTGGCTCTACTGAAGATGGTGATGCACGCCAGATCAGGAGGCAACTTAGAAGTGATGGGTCTGATGCTAGGAAAGGTGGATGGTGAAACCATGATCATTATGGACAGTTTTGCTTTGCCTGTGGAGGGCACTGAAACCCGAGTAAATGCACAGGCTGCTGCATATGAGTACATGGCCGCATATATAGAAAATGCTAAACAGGTAAAAATGTTGTTTCTTACAATTTATTAATTGCAAATTAGAGTCTCAAGGTGACTTTTGAGTTTTTAGACTTAAAATTATCCCCTTTACATTAAATTTTAATGATTTCTATGTAAAATATATGAGATTAAAAGCCTGATAAGATTTATAGCATGGGGTTTTTTTTATTTGTTTTTTGTGGGGTTTTGTTGTTGTTGTTGTTTTCAAGACAGGGACTTGCTCTGTTGCACAGGCTGGAGTGCAATGGCATGATCTCAGCTCACTGCAGCCTCCGCCTCCTGTGCTCAAGCAATTCTCCAACCTCATCCTCCTGAGTAGCTGGGGTTATAGGTGTGCACTAGCACACTTGGATAATTTTTGTATTTTTAGTAGAGACGGATTTTGCCATGTTGGCCAGGCTAGTCTTGAACTCCTGACCTCAAGTGATCTGCCCACATTGGCCTGCCAAAGTGCTAGGATTACAGGCATGAGGCACCGTGCCCTTCCATAATTTTTGTATATTTATTTTATTTATTTATTTATTTTTGAGACTGAGTCTTGCTCTGCTGCCAGGCTGGAGTGCAGTGGCGCAATCTCGGCTCCCTGCAACCTCCACCTCCTGGGTTCAAGCGATTCTTCTGCCTCAGCCTCCCAAGTAGCTGGGACTACAGGCACATGCCACCACACCCAGCTAATTTTTGTATTTTTAGTAGAGACAGGGTTTCATCATGGCGAGGATGGTCTCGATCTCTTGACCTCATGATCCACCCACCTCCGCCTCCCAAAGTGCTGGGATTACAGGCGTGAGCCACCATGCCCGGCCCAATTTTTGTATTTTTAGTAGAGATAGGTTTTCTCTGTATTGGCCAGTCTGGTCCCGAACTCCTGGCGTCAAGTGATCCACCCACCTCAGCCTCCCAAAGTGCTGGGATTACAGGCATGAGCCACTGCACCCAGTCTGTAGCATGGATTTTATTTATT